TATCTTCTTTCACTAAAAACATTTTTTAGGTAGAGAAATTTCTCTGATAACTAAATTTCATGTAGAACATTTCCATTTAGAGACCTTATTTTGTCACATTAAGGGACTGAAAAAAATGCATCTCAAAGCATCGGTTAAAGAAAGGAAAATGAGTAATTGCTTTTGCTATCATTGTCATGGTCCACATGTGACCCAAGACATGATTAAGATTCTTGAATCGGACCAGTGGGGTTTCTTGGTTTGCCTGCACAGCTCAGCAGTTGTGTTTAAATGGTTAACATTTATGACACACAGATATTGGGGGAAATACTGAAAATTAAAACGTCAGTTCTAACATGATACAGCTGGAAAATGATGCCAAGAAAAAATATTGGAAAATTAAGGACAGGCTTACATGAAAGATTACTAATTTACATGGAACAGCCTGGGTGCTATTAGAAATGTGGCAGCGAGTAAGGAAAATAGATCATCTACCATCTGCAGACAATTAAACCCAAAACTGCTGCTGCATAATATTTTGAAATACCCCTCTGCACCATTCAAATGGTGCTGCTCCTTATAACCAGACAACTGTAGCAACTGGATTCAGAAGTGGGATAATTGTCTTTCACACATTGTTAATGAAAACTTCCTAGTCTTGTTAAGTGAGATGAATAAACTACCAGTTGGGTCAGAACATGGAGGACTCCTGAGGTACTACAGAGATAATTTTCTTGATAGGATAGAGTATGCAGTTTTCCATCCTGATATAATCAATTGCAAACAGTAAAATGTAATTTCTAAGACCTGTTACAAAGTTGGTACCAAGTTTATACATATAACGATTGCTTGGGCATAGACTACTGTTGTTCAACCAACATTCCTGTGTGGTTTTCTATTACTTACAGGAAAATGTGACCTACTCTGCTTTCGAGCACAATTGTCTGATCAAAAACAGAGCATCTACCCAATACTGAAAAAGGTAAACAATATGAACAAAAAGTTACTTGAAAATGGCTATGTTGGGCAGCCATGTATTCACAACTAAAGGAAAGGCAAATTGCAATCAGAGGCTCAAAACCCCCATGGAAAAGGTACATTATAGATATCAGGAGGGGTTTTTATATGATTTCTATGTTCTGCCTTCTAAAGCATTCATTTGTGACTATTATTTTTAGTTACCAGGGGAAAAAAAACTAGATTCTGTTACAAATTACCTTAAAAAGGAGTCAGCAGGCCCACGTCCTACTTTTGCAAACAAAGTCTTATTGGAACACAGTCAGACTTAACTGCTTACACATCACCCACGGCTGCTCTTGTACAGCAGTGGGAGAGCTGAGAAGCTGTGACAGAGACCATATAGTTCACAGAGCCTAACATATTTACCCTCTGCCCTTTGCCTAAAAATTTGCTGCCCCATCTTAAAATATCAATAAAAATGCATTACAAAACAGAATACTGCTAAATTTGGTAAGGTAAAGTCAGAAATCCCAATCCTCTGCTTTGAAGCAGTATCTGATAGTAGTTGATAAATTTAGGGTCTCTTTTAGGCCCAAAGGTATGAATGGAAGAGCAAAAAGTGGATCAGACTTGCAAAGTATCATCTCAGTTGCATGTGGTGGGGTCTTCTGGGATGTGAGGAACCAGTATTTACCAAACTCTTTGGCATGACTTTCGTGATTCTTGGAAAATGAGTTTGGATCAAATAATTTGGGAAACATAGGGTTGGACAAAGTTAAACAGGTTTTCTTTTCCTTAGTAACTTCTCAGGGGCCTGGATTGTACTCATGACGCACATTGGGAAGACTATTTCAGATCAATCAAAGAAAATATTTTCTCTACAAAATGCTGAATGACAAATGTAGATCATATCTATATTTCTATTTCTAAATCCATAGCTAAATGATAGCAGATTAGCATAGATGAGTGGTCTTACTATATAATTTGTTTTCTCCTGTATTGAATATGAGTAATTAAAAGGAATCTTAATTAGCTTTGCATGTCAACATTCCTTTCAGCTCTTTTATCAGTGTGTTTTCATTCTGTAGCATTGTGGCCTAGAAACTATGGTGTTTCTTTGAACAAAACAGTGAATAGGAAAACAGTCTAGAGAAACTTCTTCTCAGAGAGCCTAGTGATTAAAAAAGAAACATTCAAATTTCTGAATCTAGTTAGAATTGTATCAGGACAATGGAAATCCTTCAAAGTTTTCTGAAGGTCTTCCAGCAAAGCATACGCACATTGCAGTACAAACGTAAGTTAAATAAAATACCGAGCTTAAAAACAGTGAAGCATTTTTTGCACCAAAAATTCATCTTAAAATATGACAAAAAATAATGTTTTTTTTCTTTTTGTTTAAGACTTAGACTCCTATAATGCTTTTGAAAAGAATTTAGCACGTGTTCTCATGAAGTTTTTGTTTCAAGTTGTAGTTATACTGCTGTTAGCCAAATCACAGCAAAGAAAGGAATAAGTACACACATATGACACTAGCCCCCATACACTAAAAACAAAGAAACAAACAAAAAAAAACCCAAACTTTTATGAACTCAAAATCCTTAAAAATTTAAAAGTGATATATTTACATACTAGGAAGTCTCACAGATTATACTACGCCTAACATTTAGTAGGTGCTCACATACATTTTAAAATAAATGTTTAACAAGAAAGCCCCCAAATGGCTATACTGTCAACGAGAAAGACAGAGGGTATCATGTTATGGAAAATACTATTTTATGGAAGATTGATGCAAAGTATACAGTTTAAACTGATTATTATATCAATTAGAATGGATATACCTCATTTAATATGAGAAGTCTAAATTACCTACAAGACAGATTTTGATTTTTAAGTGTATCCTGTCTGTTTAGAATTGATAATGAACAAAGCCTTCCAGAACGAGCATAAAGAGTTTCAACCCTACCACTGACCACAAGGCAACCATAAGGTATGCAAAAGTCAAAGAAAATACATACGCTAACTGCTAAGACACAGTTGGACCAAAGTGGTCTTGAAAAGAATCCAACTATAAAAATGCGAATGTGATTAAAAATCAAAATAAAACTAAGAGAATCTAAGAATAGCTAAAAGCTATTCTATTAACTCCACCATACAGATTGAGGGTAACATCCAAACATCATGCATATTCTATTATTGTAATGTGTCTTTATCTTTTAACTCAAGAGATAGAATATTCTGTGATGCGTTTGCCTATAGGCAACAATAAAAATACAGTCACGTATACCTGTGAGGAATCTGGATGTATAAATTAAAGGGTACAGGAAAATATAGGCAATCCCCCATACATATGGTGATAGGTAAGAACACACCTTAGGGTTTTTTCCCATGTCTCATTTTTATGAGGCTTTATATTTGAGATGATTAGTGTCAAAATACACCCGTGGAATATTATTAAAATAATCACAACATTAAATGTATAAACAGTATGAAATATATCTTTAAGAGACATACCCATACTTGAAATTACAAACTAGGTTCCTGTGAAAACAAATCTACCTCCATAGTTTCTCTATAATACTTGTCAATAGTTGTTTCATGAGAACATCGACATCTTTGTAAATTCAAAATGCTGCTTAGGAAAGTGGTTTAGTGCCTGGAAATTCAATTAATCCACCCCACTGTCAGCCAGCCACATGTGGCAAAAACACAGAAAGTCTGAACTCTTTTAAATTTCCAGCATCTTTACTGCAGGGGACCAGTAAGGTTATTAGAACTGCCTATTTCTCTGTTTTGACCAAGTAGTCAAGATGGAATGGCTTCCTGCACTGCTGAAAGAATCTTTAGCATGAATAAAGAAAAATGATCTGACTGTAGTGGGGGGGGGGGCATTAGACTGTGTTGTAAAGGAAGTTCATTGAATCTGTGCATGTAGAACATAATAAAATAAAATAGTACGGGACAGTTCAGTTCCAACTGCAAGGAGATATTTTCCCAAGGTGTCCTCCCGTATTATGCTTTCGTGAATAGACATGACAATGTTACATAATTACTCTTAACATCGGGTCCCCTCTTTCCCCAAAAGAGTTGATGTGGATAGAGGTTGTTGCTATATCAATGTTTGCAAATGACTCAGAAAATATGAGTGGGGAATATTTAGTCAATCAGGTCATCTGATTGCCTAATCATCCTTGGGTGAACTGAAAAACAAATGACAATATTGATTAAATCTAGCTGATGGAAGAAAAGGATCCAAATCACCACTTAATCCAATCTATTGTGAAAACGGCCAACGTCAGATTTCCGTATCTACAAGCGTGTTACTTATATAATTGTTTAGCTATGTAGCTGAACATGATGACAGATATTTCACTGCTTTCAGAGGAAACTGGGCAGGGCCTCGATTTTAATCAAGGGGAGAGCAGACACTTATACAACGCAGTACCGTAACTGGATATATTAGAGGTTCAGCTGGGCGAAGAGCTGTGAAACATAGTGAAACACTTCGGGTCAGAGTCCAAAAGTTTGGAATTAAGCCCTGACCCACAGATTATCAGCTGAGTGACCTTGGTTAGTCAAGTCGTCTCTAAAAATACGCATTTTCTTAATTTAAAAATTAAAAATAGTAATACCTGCCTCTTTTCTCACAGTAATGCTGAAGAAATAGATAATGCGTGTATGAAAGTGCTTTCAAATCTTTCAGCTATGATGTTCAATGTAAGGCATTATAAATTAGGCACTGTGGAACTGGATTTACTCTTTCAGACCCCGAGGGGAAGGAGAATTCAATCCAGCAATTGGAGCATGGGCGGTGGTCTGGAGGTCTCAGGACATCGATACCTCATTCGAGGGTCTTCATAATACTGTAATAATTAATAGCTAAGAGCATATTACAGTTTATAAAACACAACCAATATCTGTAATTTCATTTATTATTAATTTATTCCTAAAAATAAAGGCACTTAATCAGGTACAATATGATATAAAAAACTGAGTGTTTCAAAATAAATATAAATAGATTGTTGGAAACAGAAACTATGAGCCCATGAGACTAACAAAATACAAATGACGTGAGTACCTGACACAGTGCTTGGCACATACCATGAAACTAAGAAATATCTGTCGAGCTAACTGAGTAAAAAGGTCATATATCTTCATGAAATAAAAATTCAATGAGAAGTTTAAAATTGCAGATGGACGTCCATGACATATCCAACTATGCTCCCTGAGAGGGAAACAACAAAAATAAGATATTTTTATCCAACAGAACACAAGTGATTGCCTACAACCCGATTACATCTAGTACCACAGACCTGACGGTGCCTTCAAGCCATCATTTCTAAATTAAACCACACAGAATTCATTGTGCTCAGGGTCACTCGGATGGTCTGAAAGGGCGTGTTCAACCGCAAGTGTTAATTTATAATGCCTCGTTTTAATGCAGGACTTTACATTTCTCAAAGCATTTTCTCATATGCTTCCCATATGCTGGTTAAAACCACGCTGCAAGGTTGAGAAGATGACCTTACAACTCATGCGCACACACAACTGTACTCTCTTTTTTAGAAGGCTGTGTGTGGTGAGCTTATGCTGGTTTGCCCCAGCCACTTCTACATCTGGTCCTTGATCACCTTTTCTCAGAAGTTTAACCAGGTCTGGGAAACAGAAGTTCCACTAACATCATCCAGTTACTGGGTTCAACAGACCCATCATCAGCAAAAAAAGCCCATGCTCTCCCCTGGGGAGAGCTCTTATAACTAGGTATTTGCTTAAAACTAGCAGACAATATTTTACTACTTTGCACATGAAGATTCATTAGTCATAGTACTCCTCTGGTTTAAAAAACCTGTACTAAGATCACATAGACATTGTTTTTATTTTAAAAGAATTTTGAAAAAGCTAACCATTGAAAACTGCTTGGAACACAATTATATGATTCCTTATTTTAAAAAGTATCTACATGAAATAGTGAGTCAATGTTAACTGCTAAGACTCTAATACACACCCACCCACCCATACACACACTTCTTTCAATGAAGTTAACATTCCAAGAAGTTTTGAAATACCATCTAAATTTTTAAAGGACATAAACTGGGAGAGCATCCCACAGTTTCAACCTACCTTTTGTGGCCACTCGGACACAGTCTATTTTGGTTTCCTGTGTCAAATAAAGAGGGGAAAAAAAAATCACTATTCGTGTTTTATTTAAAACAAATAAAACTATCTGTCATTCTATGTAAATGCCAATAAGGAATGATCTCATTGTTCTGAGTGTGGTGTTAATCACATGATGATTACTTCTGGAACCCCGCTCAGATACATGTTCACAAGATGATTACTACTTGAACCATGCTCAGATACATTTTCCAGCTCCAGAGCTGGCGGCCATGGGCATTTCTGGAGCGGATGATGAATGAGGAGCTACTCCCAAAATGTTTCTGCCTAGTGGCCCTGGCTTCTTCAGATCCTTGCTTGCTCTCTGGGCAGATACTACTGGAGGAGAACTCAGGGTCCTAGATTCCCCCCCTTTTCACTGGCAAAAGTCAAGTCAGTGATGATACTTAAACTCATACTGTGAAGGAGGGTGGTATCTGGAAAACTCACACTTCTTTTTAAGGCGACTTATATCTTATATCTTACCAGAGTTCTGGGTTGGCCTGAACAGGAAAGGGGAAAAAATTCAGAAATGACTCCATAGTTTTTTTGTTTTTTTTTTTAAAGATTTTATTTATTTATTTGAGAGAGAGAGAATGAGAGACAGAGAGCAGGAGAGGGAAGAGGATCAGAGGGAGAAGTAGACCCCCTGCCGAGCAGGGAGCCCAATGTGGGACTCGATCCCGGGACTCCAGGATCATGACCTGAGCTGAAGGCAGTCGCCCAACCAACTGAGCCACCCAGGCGCCCCATGACTCCATAGTTTTTATTTTGTTTTCATCTTATCTTTCTAAAGCTGTTTTCTCTTAGAAAAAAAAAAAGATACCTAATTTAGTCACAGCTATAGGAAGTATAAACTCTCGTGAAACCAAAGAAATGGGATAGAATATGCTGAAAAGACATATGTTGTGTATCTCACAAAATTTTAAATGAGCTGAATGTATGTGTTGTAGCTATACTATTTTCCTGTAAAATAGTAAGCTAAGCAGAATTGCTAGCCAACTTTTGATAGCAGGTAAAAACTGAAAATAAAAACCATCGTGTTGACAATACATTCTTCCTACCAACACAAATACAAATATATTCATTTCTTTCCATAAATTTCTCTAGGTGAAAATAAGTTTAGAAAGAGAAAGAAAACCCCCATTTGTTCCAAGTTAAAACACACAAAAGCATGCCTTTATTTCTTATGACTATCTTCTTTAATCTATGTTCACATTAATAACTCTAAATAGCCTAAGTAAATAGCCATCTATAAAACTTACCCCATTGGCTCTACTAGCAGCTTGGAAATAAATTCTGTAGCTTTTATGGGGGAGAAGGGGAGTGTTCCAGTATCCATTGTATGTCTTATTATCACCAATAGTAAAAGGCTGAGCAGCTTGGAGACTGTTCGCTGGGAATTCTGCAGCAAAGTAGTACTGTGAGTTCAGTATTGACGCATTCTGGAAGTGAATTGGCACAGGGTAGCACTTCAAGATTTCTGTTGTCTTTTTAGTTCTTCGAGGACGTTCTTCCTCAACAACTACTTGATAGACGCTAGGGGAAAAAGAAACACTATCAGTGATATTTTATGATAATTTAGCTGATTCCCTTTGCCTTTAATTGGGGCCCACCGGATATTCAAAATAAAGAATGCACTGGATATAGTCAATAATAAGTGCCTAGTACATAATGGATACTCACTCAACATTTCAACACTTGCTCAATGTAAGAGCGGGAAGGAGCTTAATATTCTCCCATAGAACTCTCTCACCTCTGATAATACAACGTATTGAGGGAAACAAAGTTCACGAAAATTAAAAAAAAATTATATAACAATCTCTGCTGTTTATGTGAGCAGGACACTAAAATAATGTTTTTCTCACATGTAACTCAATTTACCTAATAAGTGAAATTATATTCACTGTAAGTTTATTTTTTAAAAAAGGCAAAGTATTATTTTCTTCAATCACAGCTGTATGAATGCACGTGAAGTTTTAACAAGTCACAAAACACAATACGTAATTCATGTTTAAGTAAAGTTTAACTTCCCATATTTTCTTATATTCTTTTGCCCTTCACCATATCAGATCAATGGAAAGAGATGATGTAAGGAGAGCAAAGAGACTGGAATTTCAAAAGCCTTGGAGTTACAAGCAGTTTCTAAGAGTAGGTCATGAACCAGGTTTTTGAATTATATATAAAGATAAGATCGGGATGAGCATGCTCCGAAGATGCCTGCAAGGATAGGTGTCCCAGCACCTACCCCCCTTCCTCCCTGCCCCCTTCCAATGTCTGAATTTCAAAGTAGCCATAGGAGAATGGGACAAATCTTGAAGGGATGGATGTTTCTATTAAGATATATATTTTACCAGAATGATGAACATTTGTGCAGTTTTGGTGAAAAAAAGTTTCTGATACTGAGCAAAACTAACACTTGACAGCAGCTTTCAAGAACTGAATCAGAATAGATTGATCCTGGCAAGGAAATGTAACTTGTTCTCACTGTATCAGAAAAGCACCACGACTCCCTGGAACAATGCTGCAATCCTAGAGTTGCTCATACGGGTCCTCATTATTGCCCAAGAAGAGCAGGAGAGAGGTGCCTAACAACCCCACCTGCCTGGGGAGGGCCTGGAGAGGTCCCTCTTTGGGTGTTGCCCTTGTGAACTCCGAATATGCACTCAGTGAAATCACCTATTTCTGGGAGTACAACTACTTAACACATTCCATTACAGGAATGCAATGTAGCAGCTGCAGTTCAGTTTGTAATTCTGTCCAAATAAAAATCAACTGTTGTAGAACATCAGAATGACTGCTAGACAGGTAGTATAATAGGATTACAGTACAATGATAAAGCAAATTCTGAGTGTGATGTAAACTTAAATAAAAACCAGAAATACTTCCTAACCTCTTAACATTAGAGACTTTCTATTGGTTATGTAAAACACTCCGCCAAATCTGGTAGAATTCTCACTGTGTGATGGATCTGACATGAAAGGAAGAATCATCCTCTATGGAGGACAAGGAACACATATGGAGGTAAAGTGGACTTTGATTTCTCACCCTCTTCTCCCTGACTTCCTACATATATGGTTAGATGTGGTGATTTTAAAATATATCTGCAACTTCTTACACGTAGCCCATCAAGAATGGGGTTGGCCAATCTTAATGACAACATACAACCAAAAGAATGTAACAGTGGGACAATGGGTAACTCTCAAGGCATTGGTCAGAGGAGGTCATGCCATCTTCAGCCTGGTTCCCCAGGGAAGATAGTTTTCTGGAAGAAAAAGCCAGCCACCATGTATATGGTCCAATCACCCTGAACCTGCCACAGTGGAGAGGCCACATGCAGGCACTCTGCTCTGCAGTCCCAAAGAGCTCCCAGCCAACAACTGGCATCACTGATGCCCATGTGTGTGGACCATTGTGGAAGGCCACATGGCTGAACATCACATGATGGCAGCCCCAAGACCCCAAGCAGGAACTGTGCAGACAAGCCTTTGCTGGCCCACAAAATCATAGCAAAATAGAAATGTTATTTTCAACTGCTGAGTACATTTGCCCAGAGAGCAAATCTAAAGATTTATTTATTTATTTGAGAGAGCGAACAAGCATGAGTGGGGGGAGAGGGGGAAGAGAATCTTCAAGCAGACTCCCAGGTGAGCGTGGAGCCAGACATGTGGCTTGATCTCACAACCTGAGATCATTAAAGTTTAATTTATGCGAGATCATGACCTGAGCCGAAACCAAGAGTCAGATGCTTAACTGAGTCACCAAGGGCCTCTCAAAATTTCACTTTAAAAACAACTCTGTAAAACTCAAATACTACACAAAGTGGAAATGTGAAGATACATATGAAGAAAAAATTTGCAGAAATTATTCCATACAGGAAGTGCTAGGCTGGGAGACTTGCACAGGTCAGCTTTATTTTCCTTTACATATCAGTAAAATATTACTGGTGTGAAAACTGGGGTTCAGAGGTGAAGTGCCTTTTCCATCTGGGGCTCACAGGTGATGAAGTAGCAGACGTGGTCTCATGACCACCAGACAAGGCAGTACTAGCATCACCTGTAAAAGCCCTGGTTAAGGGGCTCATGTGAACTGTCTGCCCCATGGGCATCTTCCCCTCTTATGCAGACACAACTGACACACAAACTGGTCCCCACCTACTTCCCAGAATCAACTGACTTTGAGTATTGTATATTCTTTCTCATTTATCACATAAACAGAGCTATAAATGGTAATTTCACCTTTGACCTCAACTCACTCCCATCTCTTGCTGAGTCATTAATAATTTCCAGGGAGGATGCTCATGGATCTGCAGTTGAGGCCAGCACCTGGCTGGTGTCCTCTCCAGCTCTTGATCCCAACCAGCAACTCTGTCACCAATGGCACCAAGGACAGTAATCACTCACTTTTCATTTCCAACTCCTCTAGATGAAAGACTAGCACAACCACTTCAGACTGTCCAAGTGCCACCATCTTGAATTCTCCTATCACAAACACCTTGTCCTCTATTCCTTTACCTTGGCCTGGACCCAAGTTTGTTCTTGAAATGCTGTTCTCCCCAACACACAGAAATCCTTTGCCACTCTCAGCAGATGACCCTACGTCATAAAAAGATTGAGACCCTCTCATGAACCTTCTCTCAGGGGCTTATGATCTGCTCCCCCATTTTGATGTACTCTTGCTTTGCTCCACACTCACAAAAATATGTTTCTTGTAAAGACTACTAATCATTTGTGTCTATTTATCAATATTTTCAAAAACCTCACAAGTTCCTGGAGGAACAGGTCTGTGATTTAGTCATCTCTATCTCAGCACACTCTGAAGTGGACGATGAGGGCACATATTTTTGAAAGCATAATATAATCCACAAGTAATTTCTATTTTATATACATTATATGTAGTGGTAGGGAAGAAATACACTGGTAATCACAAATATGCCCTGCTTTACTAAAATTTAATACTAAGTTTATTTTGTATTCATTTCTTGAATACCCAAGTGCAAAGAGAAGAAGAAATTATCAAGAAACAGGTTTCATGGAGTGCCTGGGTGGCTCAGTCGTTAAGCGTCTGCCTTTGGCTCAGGTCATGATCTCAGGGCCCTGGGATCAAGCCCCGCGTCAGGCTCCCTGCTCCGTGGGAAGCCTGCTTCTCCCTCTCCCACACCCCCTGCTTGTGTTCCCTCTCTCTCTGTGTCTCTCTCTGTCAAATAAATAAATAAAATCTTAAAAAAAAAAAAAAAGAAACAGGTTTCATGATGAGAGGATGCTGGTTAGATTGTAAGTTTATGCAAGAAAACCCACGATTAAATAATGAGCCCTGAGAGAATCAAACACTGACTGCTCTGTTTTTCTATCACCTCTCACACCTTCATCTCTTACTTCCCATTCATCTTTTCCCCAACTTTGCTAGTATGTGTGCTGTGCTGTGTGTATATTTACTCATTTATTAACTTAAGAAATGTTTTTGAACACCTACTATGTACCAGGCACTGCCCTATTTTAACTTGAACAATATGATATTTGACATTTCCTAATGAAAGAAAATTTTGTTTTGTGACTTAAATGCCATCTATGTGAATATGGGCGGAAGAAATTAATTTTTCCAAGCAGGAATTTTGTGAGGATTAGATGAAAACTTGAGAATTAAATGATCATTTAATGGGTCCCCACTGCAGCCAGCTGATATGTTATACACTCTGCTCCACTCCAGATATATTACTTTTTAAATGGCTACCATCTACCCATCTTCAGATATATTAAAGGAAGAACTAAGTTGACTAGAGCAATTTCAGACCTAAAATGTCTTTTCATCCTTGCTCCACAAGAGAAATTAGATTTGTAAGCATCCAGACCTCAAATCTATTTGCTCTTTAATAATTTAAGCACTGAAAGGTCAAGCAGCTCTTTTCTATTCCCCTTTATCAACGTCCAAGCGCTAACGAAAAATAGCTAAATCCTATCTGCTGCCCAATTGCCACACATTGCTGTCTTCCTGATGGAAATTAACACATTATTGGCACCTAGGTCAATGGCACCTCAACAGAACTCTCTGATATGTTTTTCACTGGTGCAAATAACATTATTTCACTAGTGAATTTCATAAAATCTGTCCAACCACAATTGCAATCTCAAAAAGTAGCTTTGAAAATCTTTCTCTCTGAATGGTTTTTCTAAGAAGATGATTAAAAAGAGCAAGTTCTCGAGGATGGAAAACCAAGCAGAAGTTTCTAGCTTAGTGAGCTGAATTAAAATTCTATTATCCTTTTTTTTTTATTTATTTATAACAAAGCCTTTATTATAGAAAATCTGAAACACACAACAGTAGAGAATAGTATAACAAACCCAATATACCTGATAACCAGTATCAGTAATCTTTAGTACATGGTCAGTCTGGTTCCATTATACCCTCACTTTCCCCACATCTCTACCAAAGGAATAATGTGAAGATAATCCAAGACATTATGCTATTTCATCGCATCTCATCAGTATTTCAATATGCATTTCTAAAAGACAAGGAATCTTTTGTAAAACATAAATTCAATA